CCTGTTATTCCTTTTCATTGCCGACTGATATTCCATTGTCCTGGAAGAACTTTGAGCAGAGAAGGGACAGACTCGGGCCAGTGCTTTATCCCGCCAGTGGATTACAGGGCATAGGACGGGTTGAATTGTGTCACGCCAGAGGGTATGCTAAATTCCTCCTCCCAGCGCCTGGGCATGTGACCTTATTTGGAAAAAAGGTCTTTTCAGATGAGGTCACAGGGTGGGCTCTGGTCCAACATGGCACGTGCCCTTCTACAGAAAGGGACTGCCGGCAGCCTGACAGAAGCTGGAAGAGGCTGGGAAGACTCCTGGCAGGTTCCCGAGGGAGCTCAGCCCAGCCGACACCTTGGCTTCCAATTTCTGGCCCCTAAGAATGTGAGATATCTGTTGTTTCAAGTCACCCAGTCTGCGGGGTTTTGGTACACAGGGAGGCAGAGCGGAGGCGAGAGGATGACGAGGAGGGGAGGAGCACAGGGAGGGAGGGGCTCATCCAGGGACTGCAGGAAGGTGCATGAAGGATACTGGGGCACAGCAAGGTGGCTCATGCCTGTAATCCCAGCACTTTGGGAGGCTGAGGTGGGAGGGTCACTTGAGGTCAGGGGTTCGAGACCAGCCTGGCCAACATGGTGAAACCCTGTCTCTACTAAAAATGCAAAAATTAGCCAGGCGCGGTGGCGGGCATTTATAATCCCAGCTACTCAGGAGGCTGAGGCAGGACAATCATTTGAACCCAGGAGGCAGAGGTTGCAGTGAGCTGAGATGGTGCCACTGCACTCCAGCCTGCATGACAGAGCAAGACTCCATCTAAAAACAAAAAAGATACTGGTAAACAGAGCCAGGCATTTTGGAGTTGAGGGTGTCACCAAAATGAGCATGTGTCACCTTCCAGGGATGGTCAGTGTGTGGCTGCTACAGCACCTGGCAGGGGGTAAATGCCAAAACATGGCTGGGCGCGGTGGCTCACACCTGTAATCCCAGCACTTTGGGAGGCAGAGGCGGGAGGATCACGAGGTCAGGAGATCGAGACCATCCTGGCGAACACAGTGAAACCCCGTCTCTACTAAACAATACAAAAAAACTAGCCGGGCGAGGTGGCGGGCGCCTGTAGTCCCAGCTACTCGGGAGGCTGAGGCAGGAGAATGGCGTAAACCCGGGAG